TGGGAAGGCGGGAGACCGTGTCTCCCTGGACTCCAGGGGGGAGGACTCACCGTAATAACAACCTTTATTTTATTTTCTTGTATTTACTTTTATTTCTTTTATTTTATTTAAGACATAGTTTCATGCCTGCTGGGCCGGGCTAGAGTGCTTGTGGCGGTCCAGCACTTAGCTCCAGCAAAAAAAAAAAAACCTCAAACTCTGGGGCTCAAAAGCAATTCTCCTGCCGTCGCCTCCCCGAGTAGGCTGGGACTACGGGCATGCGCACCATGCCGGCGATTTTGTTTTCTATATATATTACTTGGCCAATTTCTTTCTATTTATAGTAGAGACGGGGTCTTGCTCTTGCTCAGGCTGGTTTCGAACTCCTGACCTCGAGCAATCCGCCCGCCTTGGCCTCCCAGAGTGCTAGGACTACAGGCGTGAGCCACCGAGCCCAGCCTTTTGAAAACTTTTTAAAATGCTCTTTTTTGTTTGGTTTGGTTTTGGGAGACAGGGTCTCACTCTGTCACCCCGGCTGGAGTGTAGTGGCATCATCATAGCTCACTGCAGCCTCCTACTCCTGGGCTCAATCGATCCTAAATAGACACCTTGATTTTAAACTTCTGCCCTCCAGACCGTAAAAGGATACATTTACATTGTTTTAAGCCCCTAGGTTTGTGGTCATTTGTTACAACAACCTTAGGAAACAAATACTATTTCTCACGACTAAGGAACTGACATTGGGATGTTACTATTACTAATTAATAACATCAGTGATTACTATTACTATTTAATGAGTATTGGCTAACCTCCAAGTTTTATTTGGATTTCACTGGGCATTTTTCCCAGCTAATGCCCATTTTCTGCTGCAGGTTCCCATGTGCTATTGAGCTATTTGTCTCATAATTAGTAGAAAGAGCCACGCAGACGAACCAGACCGTCCCCGTGGAGGCCTGGCCATTTCCGAAGCCACGTGGCACCTCGACTGTAGCTCAAGTCGATCGATGTCCCTGAGCGCAGGTTGACACTGTGTCTGGCGAGGAAGAGGGCACACGGGCAAGGGTGTCCACCCTCACGGGGGTCACAGGAGGGATGAGGACGGACCAGGTCCCTGCTGCTGGAGCTCTCAGTCCCGTGGGACAGAAAACCAGCCAACTACCAAGGAAACAGCGTAATTTCAGGTCCTGATGGGACCAAAAAGTGGACAGATACAGATCGGGGCTAGGGAATGATGGGGTGGGGGCGGCCCTCTGGACACAGGTAGCCCCTGCCCGCCTGAGTCCTAAAAGATGAGAAGAACCAACAGGCAAAGACTGGGGGTGGGGAGAGTATTGGGCAGAGGGAAGGGCACGTGCAAAGGCCCTGTGGGGATGACCGTGGTGTGAGTTTGGCTAACAGGGAGGCCGCATGGCCAGAGTGGGGGGCGTGGAGGCTGCAGCGTGGAGCCCCTGCCTGAGCTTCTCGGCCCCTCTGTGCTGTGGAGTAGGTGGTTAACGTCTCGTGCAAAAGCCCCAGAAAATGCGGGACAGATAGCAGGGGGTTGGGGTTTGAGTGACCAATTCTGGGGAATGTTCTACCCAGTCCCTCTGAGGGTCCCCAGTGGTGCCCAGCTCCTCCCCTCCTCCCCAAACCGAGTCCCTGCACCAAACCCTTGCTTCAGGCTCTGCCTCTGGGGGAGCCCAGGCTGAGATAGGTGAGGAGGGACACTCGGCTCATGTCAGCCGTCCCCCGGCCAAAATTGAGACCCGCACCCACTGTCCGAATGAAGGCCACCTGTCTGGACAATGTCAGCAGGAGGACGTGAAGGGAGGGGACAGGGGGCCTCAGAATGAAGCCCTGGGTCCCGGTGAAGTGAGGATGAGTAGGAGGAGGCGGCTTGCAGGACAGCGGGAAAGCATGGGCCAGAAAGATGGAGCAGGGGCCTGCCGAGAGGGAGAAGACCGAAAGACCAAGGGCTGGTTTGAGGGCGCCACGATCACGGGGTTTCGGAGCACAGGGACCCCTCCCTCCCGCCTGCTCCGCTCCCGGGCACCTTCCCCTGGGACCGGCATGGTCAGCTGAGGCTCATGCGTCCGGGCACGTGGGACTCCACGGGTGCTTAGTAAAGGCCAGGGGACCAGAGAGGGATGCGGGAACGGGGCTGAGTCAGGTTGCCTGGCGGCTGCCACCCCAGCACCTTCCAGGGAGGGGCTGGCAGAGCCCCAGGGGAGTGTGGCCTCCCGCTGCCTCAGCAGCCGCCCTCCACCTGCAGCAGGTATTTTGAGCAAAGCTTCCGGGTGCTTCTCCCGAGATATCTGCTGAGTATGGAAGAGAGATCGCAGGTCAGCGAGAGGACAGGGACTGGAGGGACGTGGAGCCCGAGGCCTGGAGTGCAGGGGTGCGTGGAGGTGGGCTGCCGGGGGCTCCAGCCAGGGGCCACCCAGGACTGGGGAGCCCAGGGCAGGGGCTGCAGCGGGAGGTTCAGGCGGCCCCGCTGAACCCTGCTTCTTTGCGAGACAGCAGCGCTGTGCTTGGCACACAAGCGTGCCTCGGTTTCCTCCTCTGTAGAATGCGGGTGTTCGTGAGTCCCCTAGAGTCGTGTGTTTTGGAGGGTGAGGAACCGAATACATTTTCATGTTTTGATTGTGACAATATACATAACATAGAATCTGCCATCTTAACTGTTTTTAAATGCACAGCTCAGCGGCATTGAGCACATTCACAGTGCCATGCAGCCGTCAGCACCCCCGTCTCCGGAACATTCTCGTCTCCCGAAGCCGACACACTGTGCCCGTGAAACGCCCCCTCCCCAGCCCCGGCACCCACCACGCTACTTCCTGTCTCTGTGGCTCTGACGACTCCAGGGACCCCCTGTGAGTGGAGTCTCACACTGCGTGTCCTTCTGTGTCTGGCGTCTCTCACTGAGCGCGATGTCCTCAAGGTCCCTCCGTGCCGCGGCCTGTGACAGGAGTCCCTTCAAGACTGAGCAATACTGCACGTGGCAATGGGCCACACCGCACTGGTCCATGCGTCGGTCGATAGACACTTTCTTCCACCTTTTTGCTGTTGTGAATCCTGCTGCTAGTGAACCTCTATTTTTCAACTTAATATCCAGTTTATTTCATTCTCGAGTACAGGTTCCAAGACATGAAGTTCACTGTCGAAATGTCCCCTGCCGGGTTCTCAAACCTGAGGCCCCATCCCTTTGGGATGTGCAGAGGACACATCCCTGTTTCCAGCGTCCCAAATGGGGGATATCACTCCCCGACCCCCAGGGCAGGCCACCTCTTAGACGCCCCCTCTGACCCTGTGTCTAAACGTGTCCCCAGCCCCACTCTGCTTCCTTTTTTCCTTTTCATTATAGTGAAATTCACATAACATAAAATGACCCTTTTAACATGCACAATTCAGTGCCACTTAGCTCACCCAATGCTGTGCAACCGCCGCCTACCTCTGTCTAAGCCTGAAATATTTTCATCACCCCAAGAACACACCTCCCCCAACGTCTGTGCGAGGGTTCAGGGAGAGCCGAGGGTGGCATTCAGGGATCCATCCCCAGGTGCCCCTAAAAGTCCCCAGGTCAGGCTGGGGTGGGCAGGTTCCCCAGGGCAGGGCAGGGACAGGGGGTCCCTGCTCAGAGGGCCACAAGCTGGGACCAGGAACCCCCCCAGCTCCGAAGTGGGGGTCAGCTGAGAAGACACAGCCGGGAGAGGGAGAGGGAGCGGGAGCCGGTCCCGGCGCAGCGGGCATCAGCTGACAGGCAGGCTGTGCGGCTCCAGGCCAGGAACTCCGATTTCTTTCCCCCCCAGGAAGTTTCTGGACACCTGGCCAGCTCCGCCGCGCCCCAGCAGGAGGGCTCTGCCTAGCACAGCTCCCGGGGGCTGCTGGGACAGGAAGCCTGCAGGGAAACAGGATCGTGGGGAGACAGGGGCTCTGAGCCCACTGTGACTTAGAGTCCAGGCAGGCTCAGCCACTTGTGGCCCAGTGATCTCAGGCGTGCACAGGAGCCTCAGTTTCCCCATCTGGAGCATGGGGCTAAGAACAGCACCTTCCTCAGGGACAAGCTACTGCCCAGAAAGAGACTGGTTGACTCACGCCTCTGATACCTTCTCTGACCCCTGACTTGGTTAAATTTTGGGCCACCTCCCTGCAGTCCCTTAAATTGTTGTCATTTTACAAGGGCAGGGCTGGGTCTGTCTTGGGCACTCAAGCCCAGCACAGGTCTGCATGCAGTAGGTGCTTAATAAATACCCGAACTAACATTGGGCTACCAAGAAGGAACTAGCTTTCTGCCCCTGAGGATTCTAGGGTGACAGTGCTGTGACGGCTCAGACCCAGGGGCCCCTGAGCTGCCCACCTCTCTGCTGGCGGCGTCCGGTCCTCCTTAGCAGGGCTCTCCGGCTGCAGCCAGCTGGCCCTGCACCAGCCTGGCATCCTCGGTCCTGGCACTGAGACCAAACCCCCAAAAAGGTGCCCAAGTCTTGCCCTGTCAAATGCACCAGGGCCCCCACTGGACACACCAGGTGGACATGTGACATCCTAAGGGATGGATTTCCTGTCCCTGGCGGTGTGGCTGGGCCAGATTCCGAAATCTTGTCTCTGGAAAATTCCAGCCGCACGGAGCCCTGCTAACCCCTCCCCATCTGTTGTGTTATGTAACATTTGGGGATTAATACTGTGGCTTCCAGAGGCAGCTGTCTGGATTCAAATCATGCACTGTCCCTTCCTGGTGAAGCAACCCTGGGCCTCAGTGTGTTCCCCTGTAAAATGGGCACAAGGTGGATCCTGCATCCCAGGATGGGTTAAGGACGAGGGTGAGCATACTGCAGAGGGGCTGGAGCACAATGGGAGGAGCCGCTGTGGGGACCAGCAGTGGCCGGGGAGCCCCTCCACTGTTTTTTTTATTCAACTGCTTCTGCCAGGTGTCCATCTCGGGGACAGCTCACCTGGCTGTCCATGCCAGGAGTCACAAACCCCACATCCCATCCCTTTCGCTGCTGAATCTCCCTCATATAGGGCACCCCCACCCCATGGGAGCCCCCAAGCCTCCGCCCTGCCTCCCTGGTCCCTTCCCCTGTCTCATGGCCCTGCCCACCAGCCCCAGCCCTACAGATACTGGGGTTGTCCTTGGGCACTGGGAGCTACTGCAGAATTCAGAGCAGGAGAGAGCCCCAGGGACCCGCCAGCAGGCAGAACCCACACTCAGACACATTCCGGATGGCGAGACTCACACTTCAAGCGCACTTTGGGGAGAGCCCTCACCCCCAAAGCCCCCAGTCCCCACCTGCGGGAGAGACTCAGTTTCCTGCTCGGTAAATGGGCGTATTGGAGGTCCCCACCTAGCGGGAGGTGCAGGGTTGGAGCGCGCAGGCTGAGCGGCGGCGCCTGTTTGGAGCGTGGGGCACTGGCGCTGTCCCCGGAGCCCCCTCCGCCCCGCGTCCCCGCGCGCCCCCGCCCCGCCCGCGGCCCCGCCCCCGCCCGCCCCCGCAGCCAATAAGAATCACCCCGGGCGGCGGTAGCCCCGGAGCGGCGGCGCGGTGGTCCTGGCCACTGCGCTGCTGCCCGCGCGTGTCCCGGCCGGCCGGGTCCCCGGCGGGATGGAGCCCGGGCCACAGCGGCCGCGCAGGAGCCGCCAGCTGGTGGCCGCCTTCCTGCGCGACCCGAGCTCAGGGCGCGTCTACAGGCGCGGGAAGCTGATCGGCAAGGTGGGGCCCCGGCACCCCGAGTCCTGGCGAGGGGCTGGGCCAGGGGGCGGCCGGGGGCGGAGTGCGCGCGCGCCCCGGGCCCTCGTCTCTGCGAGTGTCGCGTGTCCGTGTGAGTTTGGCGAGCGGCGCTGTGCCTGCGTGGGCTGCGCGGCGGGGCCGGGGACCCCCCTGTAGTGGCTGGTGTGGCGGGAACCGGCGTCCGCGCTCGCTCGTGTGCGGGGCGTGGGCGCGCGTCCGGGTCCTTTGGAGGCGACTGTGCCGCCGTGCTGTCCCCAGGTGTGGCGTGCGAATGTGTTACACATCTCCGCTTTCTGTGTGCCCGCGTCGGAGTGCGCGCCGCTGTGTTGAGCGGCCAAGTGCTGTGCTGTGTGCGGCGTGTCCTGGGCTGCGTGATGTTGCGTGTCCGTATGCTGTGTCCCTGCGCCTTCACGCGTGTCTGCGCTGTTGTGTGTCCAGGTAGGTGGGTGTGAGATGTGGCCAGAGACAGGGAGGTAGCAGGTGTCCTCTGTCTCGAGTGTGTGTGAAGAGACCTGGCCACACCGGGGTCCCTGTGCGTCGGCCCGCACTGCCCGCAGCGCACCTGCCCGCTGCTCCAGCTGGTCGCCTCCCCACAGGGCGCCTTCAGCCGCTGCTACAAGCTGACAGACATGTCCACGAGCGCAGTGTTCGCCCTCAAGGTGGTGCCTCGGAGCGGGGCCGGGGCTGGGCGCCTGCAGCCCCGGGGGAAGGTAGGTCCCCCATCAGGGGCCCAGCCGCAACTTGTCCGCAGAGAAGGCTCCCGTGGGGGGCGGGGGTGGGCAGCCCCATGTCCCGGCGTCGCCCGCAGGTGGAGCGGGAGATCGCCCTGCACAGCCGGCTGCGACACCGCAACATCGTGGCTTTCCATGGACACTTTGCCGACCGTGACCACGTGTACATGGTGCTGGAGTACTGCAGCCGCCAGGTGCCAAGCGGGCGGAGGGCAGGAGGAGGGTTGGCCCATTTCATGGCTGCTGCCCCACCTGTGCCCACCCTTGCCCACCTGGGCTTACCTGCTTCCACCTGCGCCCACACCACGCTCCCGTGAGCCCTCTGCCAGGGCCCGTCACCAGCATTTCCTGTGCCCACATGTGGCATCAGGGTCCATCCTGTACTCGCCATGCCCACCTGGGCTGTCTTGACCCACCTGGGCACACCTGGGCACACCTGGGCTCACCTGCATGGGCCTGTGCATGCATGTGGTCACCTGTGCCCTTCTTGCACTCAGCCGCGCTCGCCTTGGCCGAGTCAAACTTACCTTTCCCCTCTAACCTGGGTCTGCTGGACGCTGGTGCTGGCCGCTGTCACCTGCAGTCTCTGGCCCACGTGCTGAAGGCGAGGCAGACCCTGACAGAGCCCGAGGTGCGCTATTACCTGCGGGGCCTGGTCAGCGGCCTGCGCTACCTGCACCAGCGGCGCATCGTGCACCGGGACCTGAAGCTGAGTGAGTGCTGGGGACGGGCACCGTGGGGGGCCAGCTGGGAGGCTGGGGTGCGGCACCCACCCTCACACGCAGCTCCCCTGCCCGCCGGCAGGTAATTTCTTCCTGAACAAGAACATGGAAGTGAAGATCGGAGACCTGGGCCTGGCTGCTAGGGTGGGGCCGGGGGGCCGCTGCCACAGGTGATAGCGGGAGGCTCTGAGCAGCCTGTCGGGGGGCGGGGCACAGGTGGCCCCAAATCTGGCATGGGGGCCCCAGCCTTCCTGAGCCTTCCACAATCCGCTCCCCAGAGTGCTCTGCGGGACCCCAAACTTCCAGGCCCCAGAGGTTGTCTCCAGAAATGGGCACTCCTGCCAGTCAGACATCTGGGCTCTGGGCTGTATCATGTGAGTGGGGCCCTGGAGCCCTGGGCCTGGGGAGAGGGGGCAGGTCTTCCCCGGTGGGACCTGGTACGGGCAGGTGCGGGCGGGTAGGGACAGGTGTCAGCATGCCCAGGGGAGGATGGGCAGGTGTGAGCAAGAATCAGATCGGATTGGAAAGGTGTGTGCAGGGGGAGCCCGGTGCAGGCAGGTGTAGACAGGTGCTGATGTCACCCTCGGGGTGTGCGGCATTGGCCAAGTGCACATGGATGTGGGCCAGGTCTGGGGAAATGGCTACAAGGTCTGTGCCCAGTAGCGCCATGTGGGATAGGGCCAGGTATGCACAGGTAGGCGTGAGCAAAAGCTGGACACAGGTTCCTGCCCCCACCTGGCCCAGGTACACGGTACTGACCGGCACCCCACCCTTCGTGGCGGCACCCCTGTCCGAGATGTACCAGAACATCCGCGATGGCCACTACCCCGAGCCTGACCACCTGTCGCCCAACGCGCGCCACCTCATCGCCCGCCTCCTGGCCCCTGACCCCGCCGAGCGGCCCAGCCTGGACCACCTGCTGCAGGACGACTTCTTCACACAGGTGGGGGGACCCTCTCGGCCATGGCCAGGACCCCAGGTGACCCAGGCGCTCAGGAGCCGGGTGGCCTCGTCTGGGGGGCTGACCATGGACCCCCATGCGCAGGGCTTCACTCCGGACCGGCTGCCGCCCCACTCCTGCCACAGCCCACCCATCTTCACCGTCCCCCCGCCTCTGGGGAGGCTCTTCCGGAAGGTGGGCCAACTGCTGCTGTCCCAGTGCCGGCCACCCTGTGAGTGCCTCGCCTGCCACACCTGCCCGCCTCTGCCCAGGCTCCCGACGCTGCTCCCACCTGCCCGCCCCTCACCTGCCCACGCCTGCTGACACCTCCCGCCCGCTCTGCAACTTCACGCCTGTCGCAGAGGCGGGTGTGGGTGGCAGGTGCCTCCCCCTGCACGCAGCCCAGGCTCTGCCTCGCAAAGCTTCTGCCTCCCCCAGGCTCCTTCACTCCGAAAGAGGCCTCGGGTCATGGGGAGGACGAGCAGGACCCTGACTCCATGGAGTGGGGCAGCGAGGTGAGGAACCAGGGCTGGGACATGGGGGGCACATGGAGGGTGTCCCTGGCCCCTACTACAGCTCCCTCCTCCATGCAGTCCTCCCTGGACCCCTGGGCAGAGCCTCCAGCCCCCTCGGGGCTGCCCAAGCCTGGACCCCTCTCCCCGGCCTGTCCTGCCCCACTGGGGTGGAAACCCATCTGGGCCCAACTCTGTCCCCAAACCTGGGGTCTCTCAAGGTCCAAGCCCCAGGCCGCAGGGCCCTACTCCCATCCGTTGGTTCATTCCATCACATGTATTGAGTGCTTACTGTATGCCTTTGAGACACTCCAAGGCTGCATCCCAAGAGGAAACCACTTCCTCCGGGTGCTGAGCTTGGCGGGGCAGAGGGACAGGCCACCAAGGGGTCGCAGGGAGGTGGCCACCCCTCACCTCTGCTGCTCCCTGCCCAGCTCTCCCTGTCCGAGAGGGAGGCTCCCTGCCCGGAGGCCCCCATCCGCCTACTTACGCAGGGCACCCTCCGGAGTGACCCAGCAGGTGAGCAGACCCTCTGTCCCCAGGGAGGGAGGATCCAGAAGTGGGAGCAGAGGCCGACCCTTGCCAGGGTCACCCCCCCCCCTCCTGGCCTCAATTTTCCCACCTGTAAAATGGGAATGATGCCCTGAATCCTTCTGGGTTGGAAATGAGATTTTTCTGGATGCAGAAGTCGGAGGTGGGCTGGGTGGAGGGGTCCCTCTTGGTAGGAACCCGGGACTGTCTGGCCCCCACATAGATCTGTCTCCCCAGGGCTGGAGGGGAGCCAGAGGCCGGAGGTGGAGGCAGCCATGAGGAACCTGCAGCTCTGCCTGGATGCTGGGCCCTCGGGTAGGAGCCTCAGGCAGTGCCCCCAGGGGCCATGGTTTGTCTCAGTTTCCAGGGAAAATAGCCTTTGCCCCATCTGGGGCCCTTCTGGGAATTTCTGGGCTCCCCTAAGGAACAAGGGACCCTTTCTTTTAGAGATAGGGTCTAGCTTTGTCACATTGACTAGAGGGCAGTGGTGTCATCAGAGCTCACCGCAGCCTCCAACTCCTGGGCTGAAGTGATCATCTTGCCTCAGCCTCCCCAGCAACTGGGTCAACAGGCGTGTGACACCATGCACAACTGATTTTTTTTTTTTTGAGACAGAGTCTCACTCTGTTGCCCTGGCTAGAGGGCCATAGCGTCAGCCTAGCTCACAGCAACCTCAAACCCCTGAGCTCAAGCAATCCTCCTGCCTCAGCCTCCCGAGTAGCTGGGACTACAGGCGTGTGCCACCATGCCTGGCTAATTTTTTCTATATATTTTTAGTTGGCCAATTAATGTCTTTCTATTTTTAGTAGAGATGAGGTCTCACTCTTGCTCAGGCTGGTTTTGAACTCCTGACCTTGAGCGATCTGCCTGCCTCGGCCTCCCAGAGTGCTAGGATTACAGGCTTGAGCCATTGTGCCAGGCCGGATTTTTAAAAATTTTTTGTAGACAGGGTCTCACTATGTTGCCCAGGCTGGTCTTGAACTCCTAGACTCAAGCAATCCTCCCACCTTGGCCTCCCAAAGTGCTGGGATTACAGGTGTGAGCCACCACACCTGGCCCCCAATTTTTTAAATAAAATACAGCCTTAGAGTGTTTTGGACATCACACGTGTTTCCGAATTACTTGTTTGTGGAGACGTGCGGCGATCTCAGATGCTCCGTCTGCGAGGAGAGGGTTCGTTGGCAGCTCCTTGGAGGGTTTTGGTCTCTCCGCTGCCTGTTGGCCCACCTTAAGCACCCCTAGACCTCTGCCCAGTCCTGTCTGCAGGGCCCCACCCAGGCCCCAGCCTGACCCCAGGCTCAGCTCACCTGTCTTTGCACCCAGCCACACAGGACCCCCCAGGGGAGCAGCGACCCGTCCTCTGGGCCCCCAAGTGGGTGGATTATTCCAGCAAGTACGGCTTTGGCTACCAACTCTCTGATGGGGGCTGCGGCGTCCTGCTCAGGGATGGCACCCACATGGCCCTGCGCCCCCCAGGAGGGTAAGTTGTGGGGCTCCTGTCCCCTGGGGGACCAGGCCCTCCTCCCTACCTTTCTTTGATTCATCCCTCGAGTATTTAGTAATCACCTGCTGCACGCACCTACAGCTGCTCACTGCCTGGTAGGGGATAACAATGCTAAACAAATGAACATCTAAGTGCTTTTTTGGTAGGAACTGAACCAGGCGAGGTGACAGATTGCGGGGAGGGGAATATCCGTGGCATGGATGGGGAAGGGGGACTCTGAGGAAGTGATGTGAATGACAAGAGGGAGCCTGTTGGGAACAGCACTTGAGGCACAGGGAACAGCATCTGCAAAGTCCTCAAGGTGGGATTGAGCGTTTCAGGTTAGAAGAACAGCAGGGACGCTGGAAAGAGCAAGAGGAAGACAGGGAGACGTGAGTCAGAGAGCCTCCTGGGCCACCGCTGGGTTTGGGCAGTGAGATTAGGGGCTCACTCAGGTCTTTAATGAAATCTTTCTGTCAGAAGTGACCCAGGGGGCCAGCCGGGAGGCGGGCGGACTAGTCAGGCTGGTAACAGCGGTGGCCTGGGCTGGGGTGGTGGCCGGGGCAGGTGAGGGGTGCTGGAGTCCGAGTTGAAGGCAGGAGGGATGGAGCAGCCGCCATCCGGGATGGGGACATGGTGGAAGGGACACGTTGGGGGCTGATCAGGACGTCCTGAGAGGCCAGGGCTGGACGTGTGGACAGTGTGGTCAGTGCCAGTGCAGAGCTGGTCTTTAAAGCCACCATTCGAGGGGCTGTCGCTGGGCGCGAAGGTGTCCACGGGCATGGGGTGCCCAGGACAGAGGCCCCGACAGCAGGCACCGCCCTGTGCCCCGGCCACAGCCAAGTCTGCTACACGCCTGGCCGCGGGAGGCTGCACACCTTCGCCCTGAGGGACGTGCCCAGCCCGCTGGGCGCCAAGCTGGCCGTGCTGCGGCTCTTCGACTGCTACATGCAGCAACGGCTGCGACAGGTGAGGGCCGGGCCGGGCGATGGCTGGGAGGTGGGGACACCCCCGTGGCCTGAGTGACCTCAGGGCTGAGTCTGTCTGCAGGAGGGGACCCTGCCCGCGCCCTCGCCACCCGCCGGGCCCAGCCTCTGCCTGCTGCGCTTTCTGGCATCCGAGCAGGTCCTGCTGCTGCTCTTCAGCGACGGGACATTGCAGGTGAGCCGGGCCCTGCACGCGGGGCTCAGCAGGGCGGGGCCTGGCCCACCCAGCTGTGGGGGAGTCCCGGGAAACATTTCCATCCCGAAAAACAACCAACAATTGGCTCCTGAGTACAAAAACTGCAACATCAAAGATAAACGGCGTGTTTCAGTGATGGCAAAACATCACCTTTGGTCTTTGTCCTGGGCGATGGATGTAGCCACTGTCAAAATGTCATTTCGGTAGAAAATGGTTTTCAGGTTAGAGTTGGCCTGAGCATCGCCATGGTTTCTGAGAAATCACAGCCAGACCAGAAACACAGTTCAGAAGCCATAGAGTGGGTCACACTTTTCCATGTCATTATTGTCACTTTACAATAACAGCATAAAAACACCTCTGTGTGCGGAGGCGGGTGTGCGGGCTGCTAACGGGCTCACCCTGGTCTGGGCTGGTGTCCCCCGTTAGAAAGGATCATCTTCATGTAATCCTAGCACTCTGGGAGGCTGAGGTGGGCGGATTGCTTGAGGTCAGGAGTTTGAAACCAGCCTGAGCAAGAGCGAGACCCCGTCTCTACTATAAATAGAAAGGAATTAATTGGGCAACTAATATATATAGAAAATTAGCCGGGCATGGTGGCGCATGCCTGTAGTCCCAGCTACTCAGGAGGCTGAGGCAGGAGGATCGCTTGAGCCCAGGAGTTTGAGGTTGCTGTGAGCTAGGCTGATGCCACGGCACTCACTCTAGCCCGGGCAACAGAGTGATACTCTGTCTCAAAAAAAAAAAAAAAAAGAAAGGATCATCTTCAGGCCAGGGCGTGGTGGCTCATGCCTGTAATCCCAGCAGTTTGGGAGGCTGAGGTGAAAGGATCACTTGAGGCCAGGAGTTCAAGACCAGCCTGGGCAACATGGCAAGACCCCCATCTCTACGAAAACCAGAAAAAGTAGCCAGGTGTGGTGGCGCATGCCTGTAGTCCCAGGTACTGGGGAGGCTGAGGCAGGAGGATCACTTGAGCCCAGAAGTTGGAGGCTACAGTGAGCTGCGGTGACACCACTGCACTCCAGCCTGGGTGACAAAGCAAGACCCTGTCTCTAAAAAAAAAAAAAAAATCATGAGAGAAAGTGCTGTCTCCATGTGACCCTTCTCCCTTGACCGTGGCTTCTCACGCTTGGCAGGTCAGCTCCAGGGGCGTCCAGGCCCAGCTGGTGCTGAGTGGCGAGGGCGAGGGGCTGCTGCTCACCCAGTGGGAACAGGGCCACCCCGGCACCTCCTGCTCCCCGGGTGTCCTGCGGAGCCACGGCTGCACCCCGGCCACCCGGCAGCGCCTTCGCCAGGCTCTCCGCATGCTGCAGAGCATCTAGTACCACCGAGGGTCAGAGTGGACCCCTGCATGATGGTGCCAGGGACCCAGGCGCCTTTTCTATTCCTTGGCGAGACCTGAGGGCAACGCAGGAGGCGTGGGAGGGTGTGACCCCCACTTGTGGCATGACTGTTCACCCCAGACTTTTGTTGGGCTTTGTTTCTTTTTCATTAAAGAAAACACGATGCTTTAGAGACTGCCGCTGCCTCGCTTCGGGGGAAGGAGTTTGAGAAGCGTCGGTGACGGGGTGCTCAAACTCGCTGTGACCCTGGGTCCCCTGATCCCATTGCTCCTTTAGGCAGAGACGGGCGAGATTTTCACCAACACAGAAATCAGTACCGGAAGTGGGGTTCCGCCGTCACCCCAAATTCAAAATACAGGACAACCGCTGAGAGGATGAGCAGGGAGGACACCTGGGGCAGATTGGGTAGAGGGCGAGCCGCACGCTGTTCGTCACGGACGAGATGTCACGTGCAAGAGGTGAACTGGTGACTCACACCCACCACCCGCACAAGCATGATTGTGGGGCACCAGGAGGGGCGGCCGTGTGAGCAGGCGGCTGTCCAGTGAACCCTCAGAGAGGCGTGAACCTGAATGAGGACAAAGTGAGAATATTCACAGCAGCAGTGTTTGTGATACTGAAAAAATTGGGCACAACTTAAGCGTCCAAGGGTGGGGGACTTGGTAAACAAATATCTGGGCTCATGCCTGTGATCCCAGCACTTAGGGAGGCTGAGGCAGGAGGATGGCTTGAGGCCAGGAGTTCGAGACCAGCTTGGGCAACATAGCAAGACCCCCCTCTCAAAAAAAAAAAAATACTCCTGGCACGTACCAGGTGGAGGCAGGGACGCTGCTCAGCACCTGCAACGCGCAGGACGCGCCGCCCCAGAGACGCGCCCGGCCCAGCGTGCACAGCGCCAGGACGGAGAGACCCTGCTTTGGAGAAAGGAATTGAAATACGCAGACGCGACGCGGAATTCCCGCAGCACACGGCCTCTGAAATCAGAAAAAAAGCAGCGGTGTTGAAAAGCGCCTCTCCTGGGGGAAGCAGCACGCTCCGCACCCACGCAGCACCTCACAGGCGCGGGAGCCCACGCGTGTCCCCAAGATGTCCCCTCACTGAGGTCCACGCTGCACAGGGGCCAAGGCCGGTCAGCCTCCTGCCGGACACGCAGGGGCTGCTTGGGGGCTGGGGGCCCATCCCAGCCCCGCCGGGCACCCCGTGTCCTAAGCAGGGTGTGACGCTGCTCAGACTGGGGTGTGACGTGCCCGGGGCCACCCAGCAGCTCGGAGGACCCCCCACCCTCCCCACTGCGTTCTCCCTTTCAAATTATTTCCTATCAATTCCAAAAGTAAAACAAGGATGCCGTCTCATTGTGACAAAATAGCAATCTAACCAATCAAATTCAGGTCCCGGAGTTCCACCACCTCCTGTCCCCGGGTCCCTTCCGTTTCTGGGGAGCTGCCAGGGTCGCCTGGTTTTCTCCCATCACGCTTTTGTTCCTGGAGAGAGTAACTGGGACGACCGTGGTGTCCCCGCTTCCCCAGCCACGTGCCTGGTGGGCGACTGCATCTGCGGAGAGAGCCCCTGGCTGCTTTTTGTGGAAGGAGGGCAAGGGGACAGCCGCGTGTGCGGAAGGGGAGGAAGCGGTGGCCAAACACACACGCGGCCGGCGGGAGTGGAGAGAAAACAGACGTGTGAGGGCGGCGAGGAGCCCAGGAGGTCGGGGAGGTCGCACGCCTTGGTGCGCCCAGCTGGGAGGAGACACCCTGCTGCAGGGCGGCCGTGGGAGCCGGAGGAGGGGACGCACACATGGGCACGCGTGTCATTTTTTTGTTTTGTTTTTTTTGTTTTTGTTTTTTTTTGAGACAGAGTCTTGCTTTGTTGCCCAGGCTAGAGTGAGTGCCGTGGCGTCAGCCTAGCTCACAGCAACCTCAAACTCCCGGGCTCAAGCAATCCTCCTGCCTCAGCCTCCCGAGTAGCTGGGACTACAGGCATGCGCCACCATGCCCGGCTAATTTTTTCAATTAGTTGGCCAATTTATTTCTTTCTATTTATAGTAGAGACGGGGTCTCACTCTTGCTCAGGCTGGTTTCGAACTCCTGACCTCGAGCAATCTGCCCGCCTCGGCCTCCCAGAGTGCTAGGATTACAGGCCACCGCGCCCGGCCTGTCGTTTTAATGATTGGCCTGAAATTCCTGGAACATGCAGTCCACCATTTTGAACTGAGCGATTCCGTGGCTTTGGGTGCATTAGAGTGCTCTGCGCCGCCCCTGCGCTGCAGTTTCAAGACTTTTTATCCTCTCCTAAAAACGCCAAGTCCCCATTATAGCTGTCACCCCACCCCCTCCCCAGCCCCTGGGGACCACGAATCCACGTCCCGTCTCGGCGATCTGCCTGTTCTGGACGTTTCATATAAATGGAGTCTCACACAGTGTGTCCTTCTGTGCCTGGCGTCTCTCACTGAGCACGATGTCCTCAAGGTCCCTCCACGCCGTGGCCTGTGTCAGAGCCTCGTCCCTTCTCCTGGCTGAGTGACGTTCCACGTGTGGATGGGCCACATTGTGTTTATCTATTCCTCTGCTGATGGTATCATATTCATTTGGCTTCGGATGACAGAAATCCCCTTACTAATGGTTAGGAGCAAAGCAAAGGATTGGCTTCTGACACCGAAGTGTTCCAAAGCAGAGACGGTTGCAGGTCAGGCTGGATCTGGTCTCAGATGAAGACTAAGGACTCCCCCCCCCACCGCCTCCCTCTTCATTTCTCTCACTTTCCCTACCTCGTCCTCCCATCCTTTGTCTTGGCTTCACCCTCCAGCCAGTCTTTGTGGCGTGGTGGCATGAGTCACTCCGGCACGGGCTGACGTCCTACCGGCTCAGCGAGCCCAGCGGACAAGCAGCGGCCACTTCCCCCTTTGTGCGGGCCAAGTCCCAGGGTCGGAGCTCACTGGCCCAGCCTGGGCTTCCTGAGCTGCCCCCACCACCCGGGCTGAGCTGCGGTTGGGTGCGTCCAGCGGCAGAGGGAAGGGGGTGTTCCCTCTCAGCATCCTCGTGGAACGCTGTGGCATCCGGCGTCCCGGTGTTCTCGGCCTTGTGTCCTCCCCCTATGCGGAATAAGGCTGACCTGTGTAGCCGACAGTGTCTCAGAAGTGGCAGTCCGTGTCTTCTAAGTTCAGGTCATAAAAGATGTTGAGGCCAGCGTGGTGGCTCACACCTGTAATCCCAGGTGTGAGGGAGGCCGACCCTTGAGGCCAGGAGTTCATGACCAGCTGGGGCAACATATCAAGACCCAATGTCTACAAAATATTTTTTTAAAAGATAGCTCAGGGCCGGGTGCAGTGGCTCACGCCTGTAATCCCAGCACTCTGGGAGGCCTAGGGGATTGCTCGAGGTCAGGAGTTCAAAGCCAGCCTGAGCAAGAGCGAGACCTATACTATACTATACCTCTACTATACTAGACCTCTACTATAAATAGAAAGAAACTAATTGGCCAACTAATATATATGGAGAAAAAATTAGCCGGGCATGGTGGCGCATGTCTGTAGTCCCAGCTACTCAGGAGGCTGAGGCAGGAGGATTGCTTGAGCCCAGGAGTTTGAGGTTGCTGTGAGCTAGGCTGACACCATGGCGCTCACTCTAGCCTGGGCAACAGAGTGAGACTCTGTCTCAATATATATATATATAGCTCAGAAGAAGGGAAACTTGGTTAAATGTTGAGACATTTTTTCACTTTCTCCCATGAACAATCACGGAGTAGAATGTCATGATTGTGAGTGGTGACGTCTAATATCTCTTCAGTGCCATGGCATCCCAAACGCAATTTCATTTTTTTTTATTTTTGAGACAGGGTCTCGCTCTGTCACCCAGGCTGGAGTGCAGTGGCGTCATCACAGCTAACTGCAGCCTCCAACTCCTGGGCTCAAGTGATCCTCCTGCCTCAGCCTCCCTAGTGGCTGGTGTACACCACACCTGGCTAACTCTTTTATATTTTGAAGAGATGAGGTCTTACTCTTGCTCAGGCTGGTCTTGAACTCCTGACCTTAAGCAATCCTCCTGCCTCAGGCTCCCAAAGTGCTGGGATCTCAGCCGTGAGCCACCGCACCCAGCCAAGAATTTCAATCTTTGACCACAATGTTAAGAGCTCTGGCTTTCTGGCTGGGCAAGGTGGTAATCCTAGCACTCTGGGAGACCAAGGCGGTGGATTGCTCGAGGTCAGGAGTTCGAAACCAGCCTGAGCAAGAGTGAGACCCCATCTCTACTATAAACATAGAAAGAAATTAATTGGCCAACTAATATATATAGAGAAAAAATTAGCCGGGCATGGTGGCGCATGCCTGTGGTCCCAGCTACTCGGGAGGCTGAGGCAGGAGGATCACTTCAGCCCAGGAGATTGAGGTTGCTGTGAGCTAGGCTGACGCCACGGCACTCACTCTACCCTGGGCAACAAAGCGAGACTCTGTCTCAAAATAAATAAATAAATAAAAGAGCTCTGGCTTTCACAGTCCGTGAGTGCTCTTCAAAACCACCCATGCCTGATGTTTTGAATGCAACTTTATGAAAGACCTTGAGCCAGGCCCACCCTGCCAAACCACTTCCGGGGACCGGGCGCGGTGGCTCACGCCTGTAATCCTTGCTCTCTGGGAGGCCGAGGCGGGCAGATTGCTCGAGGTCAGGAGTTCGAAACCAGCCTGAGCAAGAGCAAGACCCCCGTCTCTACTATAAATAGAAAGAAATTAATTGGCCAAATAATATATATAAAAAAAATTAGCGGGGCATGGTGGCGAATGCCTGTAGTCCCAGCTACTCGGGAGGCTGAGGCAGGAGGATCACTTGAGCCCAGGAGTTTGAGGTTGCTGTGAGCGAGGCTGACGCCACGGCACTCACTCTAGCCTGGGCAACAAAGCGAGACTCTGTCTCAAAAAAAAAAACAAAAAAACACTTCCGAATCCACGGTGAGAAATAAGTGTTTAAGGTTGTTTCACGACACCAAGTTTTAAGGTGATCAGTGACTTGGGAATGGCTAATACACATGCCACAGCACGCAAAGGGACACGGTTCCATTTCTGCGTGGAACTTCTGTTTCTGGGGAGAAAAAGACAAAACATCTTCGGCGTGTTTAACTGCGTGTCTTGCAAAATGACCTACCTAGCGTGTTTATTTCCATCTGCTTGTGGGCGCAGGAGCGCAACAG